TACTGCTACTACTACTACTACTACTACTACTACTACTACTACTACTCGTACTAGTACTACTACTACTACTACTACTACTACTACTACTGCTACTGCTACTGCTACGACTACCACTGCTACCACCACTACTACTACAACCCCTGCTACCACTACTCCTACTCCCATCCATACTCCTCCTACTATTGCTTCTACGACTACCACGACTACTACTAGTGCGAGTACTAGTACTGGAGCAGTTGTAGCAGCAGCGGTAGCAGTAGCAGCAGCAGCCGTAGTAGCTGCAGTAGGAGTGGCAGGAGCAGCAGCAGGAGAAGGAGGAGAAGCAGTAGTAGTAGTAAGTCGTAGTAGTAGTCGTCGTCGTCGTCGTGGTATAGTAGTAAGCGCAGCATCAGCAACAGAAGCAGCAGGTGGAGGAGGAGGAGGAGGAGGAGAAGGAGGAGTTACATACCAGTACCAGATATTCGTGGTAGCTGCTGCTGCTGCTGCTGCTGCTCTACTTTTGCCCCCACTGTTACTGGCAATTCAGAGCCGGGAAGCGCAGTATCTCCGCGGGGTGCTGGGGTGCCATGCTTGCAAGCTGAGGCATTGATCCAAAGACATCAGGTGAGCAATTGCTTCGGGCCCGGAGGAGCAGCTATGAGGCCTAAGGTTTGCAGGAGTTTCAGTTTCGGGTTTGCAGACTTGCAATTCGTTTTAGGGGCAGTGGCGATGAGTAGTAGGGGTTGTCAGTTGCATTCAAGAGATTTACAAAGGCTGGTCTGGGTACAGACGGACATCCGATGTCCGACCTATAGGGCAGCGACGTGCCTTGTCTGGGCGCGAACTCCCAACTTTCCAGAGAGTCAGCTTTGAGCTTATTTAGGCCTGGGCTGTGGGGTTTCGGGGAACCCTGCCTTGGCAGTACCGACAGAGAGCTGAAACTCGAAACCATAGCAGTCCCTTACAGCTTGGTAGTGCAAGAACTTCAACCGCCTGCGAGGACTTTCTGAGCGACCGACCGTGTGCTAATTTATGGACCTAGGCTTTCTGGGGAAATCCTGCTCCTGACAAATGTGACAGGTCGCGATGGAAATTTCATATCGAGATTCTGCCGATACCCCGCTTGTCGGAAATATTACACCTGTTCCCGGGTGCATGTGCATTTGTTCTGCTTGTGCTGGGATCTCTTTCAGAAAGGCCTTTCACCAGTGAAGAGGAGTGGGCCGGGAATGCTTCTTCTGAGAAAAAGAGGGTCCAGCTTGTCATGGTGGGCAGACGGAGCATGGATTTCCCCTTATAGCCAATCCTGAATTCAGAAAACTCATGGGATGGGCCCGGAAGTCATGCTTTTCTCGGGAAAGCGCTTCAGTATTTCGTGTTGCCCCGTTCCCATCTGCACGTTCCGCAGTGTCTGACACCACGCATCTCGTTCAAAGTGGCAGCAGCACTTAGGACAGTAGTGGACAAGACAGGTCTTGGATCGAAGCCCTAGAAGGTAAGACACAGAAACCAGAGGCCAGAATCTGAAGAGACTAGAGGACGGAAGAGGGTATGAAGTGAACAGCACCTAAACACAGACTGGCAGTTAGTTTTATGTGAAAGCCTTGCAAACCTCGTATTTCTTTCGCTGCGACGAGTCGACGAGTCACAACCGTAAGCAGAATATTCGATACCCAGATGATTAGCCGCGAGTCGAAATGTTCTTCCATTACAACCCTGCAGAGCCATCGTAACATATGACCGCAAAACCCCGTTGTTGTGTCGTCTTTTTACTGGTTCATTCCCCGATACTGCTGCATGCCAACGAGACTCTGCCGGCACTGGCTGTGCGGCCGTTTGTTTGGTGCCACCTGCAAGAAGGCGAGTGTGGCAGGTGAAGACCATCGTGGATTGAGAGTAGCTTTAACCACTAAACCCTAACCCTAAACCCTAAATTAAGACGTATTGCCTCAGATCGACAAGCGGATCAGTCGTTGTTACAAGCTGCGACGCCCTTGCCGCTGAGCTAGTTCTGTGCCTGAAGCTCTGCCCCAGATTTCGCAGAGCCGGACCCAAACCAACTCCTTGAACTCATCTTCATAGAAGTGTCTGCATTGTGCACTTGACGCTGGTCTGCCTGCCAGCACGGACTGCCAAAAGTGCAGTAGATAGAATGCAGCATCGCAGACAAAGGGGTTACGATGGGTTGCGGCTCTTCATCGAAAAGCTGTTACACCTGAGCAAGAACCAAAACCGAACGAAGCCAAAGCCGAACCAGAGATTTTTCTCGGCAGTGCCGGCAAGCCTGATGATGACAGCAGGGCCGACGCCAAAAGGAGCTTGAGCCAGAACCCACGAGTCTGCCCCACGAACTTGCCGACGCACTCAACTGCAGTTCCTTTTTTGAATCCTCGAGCAAGGCAACCCTAAACCCTAAACCCTAAACCCTAACCCCTAAACCGTCCCGGAAGATAGAGTTTGTAGGTCGGTCAGGATCCTTGCCCGCCATTCGCGGGCCCTCAAAAAAGGAACTACGTTTGAGCGTCCAAATTGGATCGCTTCAGGAATCATGCCTGGAAAGCCAACCCTTGGTGCCTCACGCCTAGAGAGACCCCCTGCTGATTCTTCAAAGATACGCTGTGTTTCCGTTGAGGGTCCTGTCACTTCTGGCATGTGAGGATAACACGCGCAACCCAAGCCCGGCAGAATTGCGCAGCAGAAAGGTGTGTTCCTGAAGCCGTGCCATTGAGTTTTGGATTCAACGCTCATATGTTCCCTCCACACGAGGAGGTGGTGACTGCTTGTGCCTTCTCGTTGTGGCTGCTGCACTGTTGCTGCTTGCTTGAAGGGGCTTGGGCCTCATGTTGAAAGGGCGAATGTCAGGTCTCAGGGGTTGCCAATCGGCCAGTGCATGTGTTGCAGTTTTGCGAGACGGTCTGAGGGCATGTCATCGACGGCTTTGCTTTTTCTGGCAATCGAACTCATCCACCGTTGTAAGAAAGGCACCCAACATCTCTAGGTGTAGCTGGACTCCAAAAATTGCAGTGTTGTCGTTCATGGACTATCATAAGGTCGCTGATGAGGGCAAACTTTCACACCGCGAAGTATGCCCACAGATATACACCTGCGTGCACTTGTACGTGTCCTCTTTCGCACGCACACGCTGACACGACCTCTCACTTACTTGACTGTTTCTTGTTTGGTGCAAGAACATGCGTGCGTCTGTTTAGATATGATCGACGCATAGATAGCTAGGAAACTAGGTCGGTAGATAGAATGGATGAACGGGTAGAAAAAAGGCATGTCCGTTGTCTATTTTCAGTTGTACACATGTACATATGTACCCGGGTGGACCCATGTGACAGCAAGTTATTTGCGCAAATGTAGCAAGGTATCGCAACATGCCACCTGTTCTTAAAGAGCTATGTGCCGCCGAAGCATCAGCAGCTTGTGAAGATAGCAGAGAAGCTCAACTGCTACAGCCTGGGTTCGTTTGGACGGAGCTGGGCGGTACACGCCTGGCAATGCCCGAGCCTTTGCGCGAAGAACACTGGAGTTGGCAACGGCCATGGCTGACATCATGTGAGTACTGTGATGCTGATTTTGGTTACGATGTGCATATTTGACATCTGCGCTATCGCTGGTTGACACAACACGGAAGTGAGATCTACGGTTGATGGACAAAATTCTGCATGACCCAAATATAGTATAGTACCATAAATCGCATGGTTTAGGTATATAAGGTCATGCAGGATTTTGTCCATCAACAGTAGTGGCCAGTAATCTGCGAATGAGAGCTTTGAGGTGACAATCGGACAGGTTGGGGCCTGAACCCCTGCGGTGCTGGGATGCTTTGGAGAGAGAGGCAGAGAGACCGAGATTTGTCGTTGTGTTTACACTGTCTATACATACAGGGAGGGCGCTATATACATATATATATATATAT